TTTTGTCTTATTGTCTGTGTAGCATTTGTGTATTGTAAGTCTCGTAATATGTCAGTGTTTCTTACGTACCAGGGCGCGTCTGTGGCCGTGCGGAGGGCTATGTTTTCCACAGCCTGTAATGACTTTAAGTGGCTTTTTGCCGCGTGACCTCACGCCGTGGAGGCGTAGGTTATAGCTGCGGTTGAAGTACCACCTTGATAAGCGTTCGCTTATTCCTTAAACTGAGGAAGCCGAGACCGCGAGTAGAGTTTTTTCAAAATGGGAAAAAACTCCAAAATCTCCGATACCGACATCAACTATCCGGCTATAGGCTCCTACGAGTCCTATAATTCAGACTCTATCGAGATCTGCAATTCCGAGGCAACTTTCCTCGTCAAATTGCTAGGCGGTCACTCGTCGAGGCAACCTTCCTCGTCATACCCCTACGAGGCATTATCTTTGTGTCCCACAGGCACAAAGCTATAGTACGCACGTCATTGCGGCGGCGTACTCAAAATTTAGCAGAAATTGTCCTTGCTTCTCAGGGCTCCCTCGAGAGACCCACATTTAAAAGTAGAGTCAGTGCTTCTACAAGACTACAGAAAAGAGCTTGCTCCGACATTGTCGTACGGGGTAAGATGTATCCCTGCGACACGACATCCAGTGCTACGAGGATTGGTGCCCTCGAAGGTACAACAAATAAATCAGATCGTGATTCTTTGATCAAGACTGAGCTGGACGAGACCTCGTCCCCATCCGGAGAGACCAGCGGTTGCGTGGACTGCCCTCACGCCTGTTTGCCGGCGAAAGATCTCTCGACACTCCGGGTGAAAGAGGAAATGGCCTTATTCCCCAACGCTATCTCGATGTTGCGTGAAGAGTCTGAGGGACCGAAGGTGGTAGCTCGCGGAAGTACGCGGCACTGCGCAGCCACAGCGCCGTACGCGTTGTGGTCCGCTGCTATGCGAGTTATCGATACCGCTTCGACCACCCCTCACGACACACTCACGAAGCCAGTAGCACGACTGAGTTACTACCAAGTGGGCCACCCACAGATACTCGGGACGAGGTTATACCTACGTACCAACTGGTAGATTCCGGGGAATCCCATGAGCCTGACCACGGTTCGCGGTCCGGCCCCAATGTCGGCCTACCTCCGATATCGGGTGTCCCGGAACGTGGAGCCGTTGGCACCGGCGATCCAGTACATACAGCATTTTTACGAAATGGTACTCAGCGGGAGCAATGCGCATCTCGTTTGGGTGCCATAGCATGCGAAAACCCCTTAGCCGACTATGTCGTAGGTGACGTAGCCTGCTCTTTCCATCTAAGCAATTCTGGTACAAAGTGACGATCCATTTGAACTCCTAGCGTCTCCACCGCGGAGCCGGGTCGAGGAAACCAATAATTCCAATCCAAACGATCACATTCCACGACATGGCGCTCGACGTGGGGCTCGATTAGAACTTCCGATGTCTCCACCGAGGACCCATGTCGATGTTACCCATAATTCAGATCATATAACACGACAATATGTTTATGTTGTTATCCTCAATTCAAATCGGCGATTGTGAATGTCGTCGATTCTAAACCTCAGGAAGGTGTAAGGATGGATGGATTCTTTAGCTAATCCAATTGAAAAGAATGAACGTTCCTAAAACCTACCCTGATTCATGTTTTTTTCTGATTATTTTTAAGAAAACTGTTTTTCAAATTTCTTTTACAAAATAACTTGTAAACATGAATGCGCTAGTCATAAATATTGTTCAGATAATTATTTGTATAGAATAGTGCTTACAAATATAATAGTATTTACAAATATCCTTTGTTTTTATTTTAGACAATTATTTATTATTAGCTGTTTACTAAGTATTGTTGTGTAATTCAATGCTAGTTGGGGTATTTCATTGTTTACTTCAAATCAGCAGTTAGAAGTCATGTCTGTTATACATATTATGCATACCCAGATTTGTTATCGAAGAACATTGATTTCATTCGGTAAGATAAAAAAAAATATTTGACTACCTCCAAATTGGATTTTTTTGTTTCTCCAACAATGATAAATAAAACAAAGACTAAATTTTAAGAGACCCATTTAAAGGGGTGTAATTCCAATAGCAGACTTTTTTGGAAATAAGTTTGTATAAAAGAACTCTACTTTTCAGCAAAGAATCACTCGTTATAGTTCTCCGCTGTATTAAATAAACACCCAGTATAGACAGCTGCATTACTATTTAAAAAAAAATATATAGGAAACATCAAAGATTTGAAGATTTGAAAAACATTTTTATATATTTAAGAATTTTATTGTCAACTGTAGTTAATGTAGTATTTAACAACACATAACGGCACACATTACGATAATAATAAGGTAGGAATAAATGTATAGCACAATTCAAATGAAAATAATATTTCTTTGATTATATGACAATATTTCATAAAAAAAATATTAAAGAATATTTAACACATTTTTCTAATATTTAAGAAATAGAAGTTAAAAAATGTATGTAGTCTAATACACGTGATGGCACCCATTACTTTTTTATTGTAATGTCAATTTTTAGAATTATCTTTCAATTAATATTTTCTTACACCAGATTACAGCCTTTCTCATCACAATATTAAATTCTACAGACATAAAGTTAACATTTTGGTGATAAAATAAATGTCCAAAACCTTAATAATTTTACATCTTAACTTTAAGTAAATAAATCATACATAGGCATAAAATAAAATGCATATAAATAAAATGTAACCCCTTTCAAGGAGTTCCCTATACATATTTCTTAAATCAAGAATGCATTAAAACCTCCATCTGAATCAGTCTGTTAGTGACATATCCAGTTATTTTACGTGGCAATCTCTCGGCAAAATTGATAATACAATTCGCTTGTTCCCAAATGCATCGAAGATGCTGAAATTATAAAACACAAATGAGAGAAAAGTGCAGAGCCATCATAAATGTTTACAAGTCACGTGTCCACCAAACTTGGGCAACCAACATTGCAGGGTTGGTATTGATAACGAAAATTCCCTAAATCTTGGTATCACCAATATTAATGACTCGTTTACATTACACAACATGACTTCCAAACAAAATTACTGGTTACGTGGCTTGTAATCATTTATGAAGACTCTGTATTTCGGCATACTCCATTTCATATGTACTGGTGACAGAATAAAAGAATTTAAAATTTTAGTAAAAGTGTTTTATAACTTTATGATTTGATGAAAAGACGAATGCAGAAAATATTTACAAACAATAATTATTTGTTTTAACAAAGAAATAATTATAACATTGTATTCCAAAACGTTAAGTTAATTTTAAATTATCTTGAAATATATGAAAATCTCTAAACACCTCAAATGTGCAATCATTCAAAAGTAGATTTTCTCGTAAACTTATGAACTGATTGTAGTATATATATTTTTTAATTATAGGTTTATTCCGTTTCATAGTAATAATTTTTTCCCTAAAATATGAAATACCTTCTAGCTACATCAAAGAAAGTTAAACTGTAATCCCATTTTTTTTATGAACATTTGAAAAGATGAAACTAGAATTTAATTTAAGTAGACATTCGCTATTGTCTCTGGTGTACCTTACAATGTCGTTCAAAACTCGAGAAAAAAACTTATACTTTCTTGCATCCTATACATATATACCTTACTGCGCAATAAACTTACAACCCAAATAAAAAAAATCAAAATCAGTCATTTGTGAGAAAATCAACTTTAAAATTAAGGTCAATTTTTCATGATACATTAATACTAATGTGATGTATACAGGATATTTCTGAAATGCATGTACCAGCAAGCCACCCTAAATCCCAAGGTCAAAATAAGATGATTCAGATTTTTGTTTGAAAACATGCTATCTCAAATTAAGCTTGGAAAACATGCTAGCTCAGATCTATAAGTAAAAACATGCTATCTCACTTTGACTAGAAATTTAAGTTGGCACATTGAATGATTGAAACCGTGCATTAATAATAAACTTATGTAATATATTTTTCAAAAAGTAAAGAATATTTATGTTCAGGTACACTGTTTTTTTTTTATTCAACATTTTTCAATTAATTTTCTTAACTTACCGACAAAATTGTTAATTAAAAAAATAGAATATGCAGTATGCTGCAACACGTACATTACTCGACGTTTTTTGAAATAACAAATTATAAAAAAATTGTGGTATAATATATAAAAATGTATATTTTTAATAATAATAAAATAATTTTGTATGCCCAATGCAGTCTAAGGAGACTGTAATAAAAAGAATTATATAGCGGATCAGGCTAGGCCCCAAACTCTGGGTCCGAATCGTTCTTATTGCACCTCAATAAAAACACGGTAGCCGTGTCCTTGCATAAACTTTGGAAATGAAATGCAGGTATGCGATACTTTTATTACAAGTACTCTATGATCTGTTGATGATATATATGTGTGCATGGGGAACCGCGGAAATGTGCACGTGCATATCATATGCACCCGTCACATCGATATATACATATCATTCAACTTTATATATTATATTTATATTCCGGTTATTATGTTAACTCTATTAATAAAAGTAAGAGTAGTGACTATAAATCAGGTAAGAGTGCGCTATTAATTTTTATTCAAAGCAAACTTGTATGAAAAAATCTAATAATTTTTAGTAATAATAAACATTTTTATATATTGAGGTATACACTATTTTTTTATAATTTGTTATTTCAAAAAATATCGAGTAATATACGTGTTGCAGCATACTGCATATTATTCTATTTTTTTTTTAATTAACAATTTTGTCGTTTATAACAGTAACTTAACAAAATTAATTGAAAAATGTTGAATAAAAAAAATAAAATAAACAATGCACCTGAACATAAATATTCCTTACTTTTTGAAAAATATATTACATAAGTTTATGGTAAATGCACGGTTTCAATCATTCAATGTGTCGACTTAAATTTCCAGTCAAACTGAGATAGCATGTTTTTACTTAAAGATCTGAGCTAGCATGTTTTCCAAGCTTAATTTGAGATAGCATGTTTTCGTACTAAAGCGTCGATTTGTTGAGTCATACAGCAGATTCATAGGATCACTATTTACAAGCATAAGAACAGCATTGTGGCAATTAATGGCACATTTAAGGCATTATTTTCAGTCTGCAACTCGCACATATTATATCATGTTTACAATTGCTTTGCAGGCACCATGCTGATAGATTTCCCTTTTGTACTGCATTAAATGTAATGATATACAGTATGTTAAAAAATTCCATTTTAGTATATGGAGGAGCGATCCTAACTATAAAAATAAGAAAAAAAGTTTATATGAACTAAACTGCTCCCTATGGCTGTATTAAATTTCTTCCAGATTGATTTTATTTAGTATCTAGTATAACAGCTTTTGGAAGCATTTAAGAATTTTCATATAAACTTTTTTTCTTATTTTTATGAGGAGAATCGCTCCTCCAAATATTATCCAAACTTTTTTAAAACCCTGTATTATGTTATATTTAACTTCAAAGATTTTAGTTTTGTAATCCATATCAAATAAAATTTTACAAAAGGTAAAAATATTTTTTTGAATTTTGTATAAGAAAATGCCATATTACAGCCATAGAGGCCTACATATAAAAAAGAAGGTGGCGATTGGGTCAGGGCAAAGTTATATGAAAAAAACATTATAGTCGGTGTTTACTCTAAGGTGTTACTCAATTTTTAAATTATTAAATTTCAGGGGTTGATAGAAGATCAGACTATAATTTTTCTTTTGAAAACTTCAAGGTTTGCAAAATACATGTTTTTAATAAAAAAAAAAAACAATAGTTTCTGTTGTATCTCTTATACCAATAAAAACGTCTCATCACATAAAATTACAGGTCCATTTTAAAAACCAGTGACGTGCATCCAATAGTTTCCCTTCAAAAAGTAAGTGGTGTGGCACTGAAGTAAATTTGAAAAATTTGGTTTCCCTGCAATGTTCTATCAATGTACATACTAAAAAAAATTTACTCTTGCTGTTTTCTATAAAGTTAAAATTTGTCTTGCTCAAAACATTCAAAATATTTAATTTAAAATAATTTTTAGTTGAAAAATTTTGTATGTATAAGCTTCATAAAGTAGAAACAGACAGAAACAATTTCAAGGTACTATTTATCCAGGAACTATGATTTTTTTTTTAAAAAGTTGCAACTTTTTTTCTAGTAAACTGACAGCACATTAGTTACGTGGTTATTTTAAATTTAGTACAGTAGCACTACTTGTTTTCTGAAGGGATATTTGAAGCTATTGAATGCCAGTCATTGATTTTTCAAATTGACTTGTAATAATTATGTGATGATAGAAGTTCTTAGTAGTATAACTAAAATTTTTGAAGATTTAGTTTATTAGTCCCTGAAAAATAGCAGAAAATCAATATTTTTTCATTAATTGTACATCTCGTATCTTAGAAATGGTGCATTTTCAAAAAAATGTTATATAGAAAACTGATACTGTGTTTTTGATTTTCTATCGACCCCTGACGTTTGATCATTTAAAGCTGAAACACTTATGGGTAAGTTGTTCTAAATTATGTATTTTATTTTGATCCCAATCATCTAGGGCAAGGGTCGGCAAGTAATTTTAGGTGGGGTCCAGTTACTTTTAAAAATTTTTAACGAGGTCCAGAAAAAAAATTCATATTTCTTACAAATTTTTTATTTTCATTTGGACTCAAATTTAATCTGCTTACTAGCCATTAAGAACTCAAAACACTCACAATTGTAAAATACTAGAAAAAATGTTAAGGTTAGCACTCAAAGGTAAAAAAAACATTTTTTAAATAATTTATTTGAGTAATTTATACTTTCAAAAAATTTTTGGCGGTCCAGTATTTTACCTTCCGCGGTCCGGACCTGGACCGCGGTCCGCCAGTTGCCGACCCCTGATCTAGGGTGACATATTAGTGCACGCATTTCAGGGACACTCTGTACGATCCCTAATTTATGTCTGAAAATAAAACTACTTACATCGTCAGCGACAGATTCCAGAAAAATATTCTTAGTTTTCTTAATAGTGTCACACTGTGCTAACAAAGTTGTCATTGTAGCCAATAAAACATCTGGTACGACTCTATAAAAATCTTCGTTAAGGTATTTCATGTTCTTAACTCTTTCATTAAGCTCTTCAAATCTCAGGGGCAGAATTTCTAAGTTAATCAATTCCTAAAATAAAAAAAGTAATAAGATATATGATGTACTAAAAAACGAAATTAATGCTTACTTTTAAGGCATCCGGATAGTGTTTAGCACGGTAGAGGTCAAAAAATTTTAAAAGGCCTTTCAGTTTAATAAAGGAGGTGATTAGATGTGTAGGAATAATTTTATCGCCGTCTTTGGGAAGCTGTTCTTCTAAAACAGTAGCTTTCTGCTGAATCCTGCTCCTGATTGAATTTGGTTGATTTTCTAAGTGAGCTACTTTTGATAGCATCAGGCACATAAGACTTAGGGCTGCTTCCATATTCTACAAGAAAAAAAAAAAGAAATTTGTAACAGAACCTTCCCCATTTTGCTATGAACAGCCACTATCTAGTTTAAATTAGGTTTTCCTAATATAATATTATGAATATTTTGTTACCATCTACATTACCAAAGCCTCACATCTAATGTGCTACTGTTTAGTGATGTCGCTACCCATGGTTATTGTTAGTCTAATTGTATATGACAGAAATCATTAAATGTGTTGTCGTTAACTTATTTTAATAATTATTATATCAATTATATTACAAAAGCAAATTGAAAATCAAGAGTGGAAAATTTTCCAATTGTTTTTCTTTGTTGAGCTATTCAAGAAACTAAAAAAAGTGAAAATCCATTTTTTTTTCTCAAAACTGAGGTCTGTGCTTATAGGATTTTTAATCTGTGCTTATAGGATTTTTAATCAGAGGACTGACTCTTGGCATTATTGGTTGCTTTATTACTTCCAGTCTGAATAAAACCTACTGCATTTTCAAGGAGGGGAGAGGGAGGGGTGAGGGAGGGGAGGGAGGGGTAGTTAAAAATGTATGTTGTTGGTTTTGTAAGACATGAAGATACATTACAGGGTGTAAGTTTAAATGGAGGTCAGTTTTTTGGGGGGTAATAGTACGTGTTCCCCTGAATACAAATCTGAAATTCTCTTGTTTTTTAATCAAATAGATAATCAAGTTATAATTAGTTTTTTAAAATGCACTTTAATACTTGTGTACACTGCCACTGTAATATTCATAAGTATTACAAATACATGAATTGTAGGCAACTTACAGTGCATGTGAAGGGAGATAGTGCGGGTCAATGGTGATGAAGCAAAAGGCATCACTTGTTTTCCGCATTTGGAGATTACATCTAACTGTGAATTTGAATATTTTTCATCATTGGAAGCCATCAACAGACTATTTATTTTTGTGTATTTCATATATCATTATTGATTACTGCTCGAGTTCTTTGCTACGTTACTTGTTAAGTACTGTTTGTGTGGGAAACACCCACTCATTAAAAGTAACCCGCGGTGAATGGTGTGGAATTAATTGTGCATACACTGCGACTAAAGCACGCCATTATTTGAGGTCACACTAGCTTCTCCAGCGGCAGGATACGAAAATTACTTAAAAAAGGTTAACAAAAAAAAATGAAGTTTTTACTACAGAATTGTGCCAAGATAATCAGTCAAGTGGTTGATTTTTATTAATTTAGTTTTACCTAATCAGAAATATCACACAGTGGAAAGTACATATATCTATTACTGAAAATTTTTTCTTTTCAGTGTGCAATAATTGTAAGTTGCGGCCGAGTCTACATGCATACACTCTTTACTTCCGAAGCCAGGCAGAAAAGAAAGAATTTTTCATTATTTACCTGACCTGGTGGCAGCGGTAAAACTACCACATCAACTATACAGGGTGGGCCACCAGTAACGCCTCTGTCGCTAGAGACCAAACGGCAAATGTTACAGAAACCTGTTTAGGTGGGTATGTGTAGGTTGATTACGGCTACATTTTAAAAATATTTTGAAATATGCAGGGTGTCCAGGAAAAGCATACCATCTCAAAGTTATGTATTTTTAAATGGAACACTCTGTATTTTACTGCATTTTTGAAAGCACCATAAAAAAATAGTTTTTATTACTTTGACTTTCAAAAATGCAGTAAAATACAGTGTTTGATTTAAAAATACATAACTTTGAGATGGTACGCTTTCCCTGGACACCCTGTATATTTCAAAATATTTTTAAAATGTAGCCGTAATCAACCTACACATACCCACCTAAAAAGATTTCTACAACACATACCGTTCGACCACTAGCCACCGAGGCGTTACTGGTGGCCCACCCTGTATAAAAGTCATCTGGGCAGACTACTACATGATAAACAGCCTGTTTAGTAATAATACATATTTTATATCTGGTTTATTTCAACTGAATATTTATAATGTAAATCCATATGTTTTTTTTTATTGCTTTGCTTAATGATGCGACACTTCTGAGATGATATTATACGCAGTCCTTGGTAATCTAGGTGATATTGATCATTTCTAAAATTTCGAAGAAAAAAAAAACTTACATTTACAGCATCGTACAAGTCGATGGCTTCTTCATACAGCTCCTTTTTGATTAATGTTTCTGCAACCATCTCTACTCTCACATCCACATTTTTGAACTGATCTATCAGTCCTTTGGTTTTAACGCCACCGGCCTGTACCTTGCCAAATATCCTTTCGTATTCTTTGGTATTAATTGCTAAATCGGAAACAAGTACTTCAAACAAATTTCTATCTTCCGAGTCGGTACAATTTCTTAATAAAAAGAAATAGTGCAGGGCCCCATTCAATGAGGATTGTTCAAACTTGCTGACGTAACTCTTTATCGGAAGAGTCAAATTTAAGTGACGAGCGGGTTTAGGGTCCGTTGAGTCAAGGGAAACTAAAAATGTCAATTTAAGTTGCATTCAAAAATAAATGATAAGGTATCCCAATTAAAAAAAAATAAAAAATAATTTCCATAAATTTTTATCTTCATATTATTACTTACTAAGTGGAAGGGTACTATCTTGAGATAGAGCTAATAAGTTTATCTCATGAAGTGCTATCGCAATGTGAACACCTTCTGCTTTAAAATTTTCAGTCCGGAATAAAAAGTCTATGGCTGCCTCAAATTGTCCAGTAAGAATTAACAGTTTGAAATATAAAAGAGGTTTATTAAATGCATCATAGTGTAGCTCTCCATGCTCCTCCAAGATCATGTACTGAAACAAATTTACAAATTCACATATTTATAATTAATTTATAAACATAACTCGTCTGCAGGTAGTTGGTTGAATGATTTCAGGGCTGGTTGCCACGTCGTCGATTTACAACTCTTGATGTTTCGAGAGACATATCGCTCTCTTCTTCAGAAGTTACTTTGAAACTGAAGATCTACTAATATTGTCACTATTTATATTTAATGTGGTCACTGGTCCATGATGTTCCGGTGGGTGACCCCTTGTACGAGTTGTTGACGTTCCAGTGGGTTGCTTTCACGGATGACTCTCTTCCATATACCTGGCAGATCCACGTCATTGCTGCTCCCGGAATGCAAAGAAGGGCGATTTTATGCACACTTTTGCCAAATCCATTAGGCTCTCATCCTTGTCCTCTGCAATTAGAACGATAGAACGATAGAACGAGCTATCAGGAGGAGACATAGGCCCATGGAGAAACAGGAGTACTTAGCTACGACGTATCTACCTTACGTGAAAGGTTGTATAGATACAATCGAGCGTGTTTTGAAGAAGAGGAATGTCAACACTGTATTCAGCACTGTAAAGAAGATGGCGGTACGGTTTCCAAAGACCTGCAACAACGACTACCTCCAGGGCTCCGGTGTGTACAGTATTCCTTGTTCTTGCGGAAAGGTCTACATAGGACAAACAGGAAGGCACATCAACACTAGGTTAAAGGAACGCAGAAGTCGCCTCAAAAATAATAACTGGGAGAAATAAAATAGGGCGGAATTGGGACTCACAGTGGATCTGAGTGAAGCCAACATGATGGTGAGAGAGAGAAGATTTTGGCCCCGACTATAGAGAAGCATTAGAAATTTACAGAAATCCGAACAATTTCAGCGTGGATCTGCCAGGTATATGGAAGAGAGTCGTCCGTGAAAGCAACCCACTGAAAAGTCAACAACTCGTACGAGGTCACCCACCGGAACATCATGGACCAGTGACCACATCAAATATAAATAATGAGAATATTAGTAGATCTCCAGAGTAACTTCTGAAGAACAGAGCGATATGTCTCTCGAAACGTCAAGATTTGTAAATCAACGACGTGGCAATCAGCCCGGAAATCATCGTTTGCAAGTATACGGTTCGAGTGTTTTAATTTTCTTAAAATCTACCCGGTAAAAATGTTTCTAAATGATCGAAATGTATACTTTGATTTAAGTTTTTCTCCTTGTAATGATCTAAATCAGCAGTCGGCAACTGGCGGACTGCGGTCCAGGTCCGGACCGCCAAAAATTTTTTGAAAGTATAAATTACTCAAATAAATTATTTAAAAAATATTTTTTTTACGTTTGAGTACCACCCTTCTCATTTTTTCTAGTATTTCACAATTGTGTGACTGATTTCAGTTCTTAATAAGCAGATTAAATTTGAGTGAAAATTAAAATAAAAAAATTAGTAAGAAATATTAATTTTTTTTCTGGGCCTCGTTAAAAATTTTCAAAAGTATCCGGACCCCACCTAAAATTACTTGCCGATCCTTGATACTGTTTTAGCTAGTGATCTATTATCCGAGGCAAAATATCATAATGCTTATGAGTTTTCATTATGCAATTAATTAATTTGAATTGAAGTGATGCTCTAAAGTAGAGACATCATTGATGTTGATCTTAAACAGTTTTATAATATATTATATATGTATTGCTATTTCCTTGTTTGAACCCCTGAAAGAATTTTGATCTAGTAATCTTTCTTGGTGGTGTAGTATAACAACCCAGGGTTCGGTCAAAAAAACATACAAAGTTGTGGCCAAAAATATGTGATCGTCATAAGGAATACCTACGTTGTATACATCTATTTTTAATTGACCGGAAGGCGCTGGCTACTAACTTTTTTGAGGGGATGTATGGTTTAATTTTATAAAACAAAAGCAGAGTAAATACACCTAACTTTATTATTTACATACAACAGTCTTCAAATTAAACATGCGACAAATAGAAAGAACAACAAAAACATTAACAACCATTTAACATAGAATAAGAGTGCCAGGCTCACCTAGAGCTCCTGTGGGGAAAGAGAATGGCAGAGAAACCCACGATCGTTGCTCTTACTACCCAAATATAAATACAAAACAGCCGCTAACCAAAGGTATAAATTAAGATACTTTGCTAATGACAAATAAGACCTGTCTCATTTAATGTGTCACTAAATGTCATCTGTTACCTCATATTAGTCATACACACTTCCAAGTAAAACTGAAGAGGTTTGGTGTTAGTTAGCCGGCAGGGCCGGAAGGTACTGGAGTCCCATAATACGGGAGGCAATCCAGCTATAGTTGAGATTTCGGAAGATCCTTCTTAACACCGAAGTCCCATACGGGAGGCAATCCAGCTTAATCCAGATTCGTTCCGCACGGGCGAAAATGTTAGTAAATTCAACAAGGCTCTATAGACGTATGACATAAAGTGAGCACAAGAAATCAAAGAACAACGTAGTCATGATAAAACAAGTTAGATGTGAAACAAAGGAGTTGCTATTGTAATATCTGGGCAGTCACGACAATATATACATATTTGAACATGTAATAAATAATAAGCAATCTTTAATAATAATTGTAACAATTTTATATTAGAAAAATATACGCCCCTGAGCATAAGACAATGAAGGCTAAACATATACAGAATTATTATCTATATTTTACGAACAACGTAAATTCTAATCTGAATTTTCTCAAATTTTGCACTCCTAAACGGCATGCTGCACTTTAGTAACTACTTTTTTAAACACTGCTTTTGTATGTATTGAAAAATATGGACTATTTAAGAGCATTTACAAGAAAATTGGAGAATACTTCCATAAGAATGTTAGAGAATAATTAAAATACCTATGCACCATTTCGAAAAACAAAATACCCGATTCGAAATTATAGAGTAGGGATCCGAATACATTTGAAAATTTTTAACGAGGTCCAGAAAAAAAATTCATATTTCTTACTAATTTCTTATTTTAATTTACACTCAAATTTAATCTGCTTACTAACCATTAAGAACTCAAATCAGTCACATAATTGTAAAATACTAGAAAAAATGATAAGGGTGGCATTCAAACATAAAAAAATAATTTTTAAATAATTTATTTGCGTAATTTATACTTTCAAAAAATTTTTGTTGGTCCAGTATTTTTATCTTCCGCGGTCCGCCAGTTGCCGACCGCTGTTATAGAGAGTGACCCAGACATAATATAAAAACACTATTACCATAATGCGTATAAAATATAAAATGGTTTTTATAACGGTTCAATATTATTTGTTTTGTATTAAATGATGTGCCGCTCTCTACACACATAGATAGAATCTATAATCGTCTATAGACTGAGTTACGCTGAACGTCGATCTATATTCTATCTCGTGTCTTTTGCACTTGGTAGGGAATAGGGAAATGCTTTTTTAGTGGGTGTAAACCGACTTGATTTAACTGTCCTTAGAAACGCCATAGCATAAGCGTAGGTGAGGGATCTAATTCCGTGGCTATAATAAATTTATAAATTAAAAAACACAACCAGGACGTTTTAAAATGTAATAATTAAAATGGATCAAAGTGCCGGTTGTAGCAAACTGTCAAAAATATTAGATGTTATATGTTTTATTATCTTTTTTCCGTATTTTCTATATTTTGTTGCCTTTTACACAGACACGCCAATGGATTTTCATTCCCCGCATGCTTCATCCTCCTTACTAGTCCAAAAGCTAGCGATGAGTCACTGTATAATTTTGACCACGGACTATAGTAGTAGGATGCACAATAGTCCCAATTAGGCTGCGGAGCCATGGGACCAACTACTAGGAAAAGGAGAGATGAGGAAGAAACAACTCGTGCAGAAATATAATTGTTTCTCGGGCTGTATGGCATGCGGCACTGTCTTGTTGAAACCAGATGTCATCTACATCCATATTTAGGCACAAAAAACAGGATTATCAAGCTTGCACCATTAATTGCTATTGCCTGACCAGTCGAATTTTTGAAGAAGAACGGTCCGATGATAATTTCAGCCCAAAATCTGCTCCAAACAATGACACATTGTGGATGCATTTCTTTCCCAACAATCACTCGATTTTCTGAACCGCAAATGCAATAATTTTGTCGATTATCAAAGCCATCAAGATGAAAATGAGCCTCATCACTGAAGACGATTTTGTTCGAAAAGTCAGCATCCAGTTGTTTCATAGTCCATTCAACAAACTCTCTTCGTTCTGCGTGGTCAGAGCGCTTCAGTTCTTGAGTTAATTGATCTTTGGAAGCATGAAAATGCAAATCTTTCGTTGTAAAGAGTTCCTCAAAATATCCAATTCTTGACCAAGGCACTGCATTCTCAGCAACACTCTCACGAACTGCTTCAATGTTGAACGACTTGTTGAAGGATGGCCAGAAATCACTTCAGTGTTAATGAACTTAAATCACTATTCTGACCACATTTTGTAAGAAAATTGCAAACCGTAGCTGTCAAACTTTCGTTATTTGTAAAATACTGCTCAACAATGAAAACCGTTGTTCTTTCGTGTTGAGCTCCATTTTGAATAACCCTGAACTGTCAGCTGTTACACAGCCTTTTTTTATGATGGCAACACTGTACCACACAAATGGCACAAAATTTAAATTTGCATGAATTTTGGGTCACCTAATAAAATCTTGTCGTTTTGCAGTATCAGCCATACACGTCAAATGGAATAAGCAAGAAAGAGTAAATTGCAAAATACATAATAAAAGAGGGATTAATTAATTTTCACCTACCTGTAAATCTGCGTACTGATTATAGACATCAACGTGAATCATATTTAATTTAAACCACAAATAGTCGTCAGCTGTTTTGATAACTTCAGACAATTCATCAAAACCTCCCAGAAGTGACCAAACTGTTCTTTTGAAGGGGTCGGTTTCATTTCTAACAGAACTTCTATAGGAAAACCTTACGTTCTCCTCCAATACTCCTATTAGCGGATCATTAGGGGTGCTCATTTTTGCTTTGAGGATAGAAATAATTTCCTGAAATGCCAAGTGACTGGATTCAAGACAAAAGATAGCGGTAGATAAATCTCCCACACGAATACAGTAGTACACCATTGGCCACAGTGGACGGTCGTCTATCATTCCGTCTTGGAGTCCCATGTATTCACCTTGGAAGCGCAAGCCAACAAAGGTGTGTACGAGCACGTAGACCTTTGAAATGTCAATGCGAGAATCTTGTGAAATACTTTTATTTATCTCATTCGTCATGTAGTTCTTGAAACTGGAAAAAAAATAGTGATATAAAAAATATGGATAAAGGACAAGATTACTATTCAAAGATGAAATTTTTAATATTAGAATATTATATTTTATGCAACTTGCAGCTATCAGAAACCTGTGGGCTGAATAAAATAATGATAATACGGGTGTCTCAATTGTCAGTAAATTACTTAATTAAATTAAAGAAATTGCCGAATATTTCACCATTTATCGAAATTAAATAATAGGAAAATGTATGTACATGGTCTAGAGATGGTCCCCAACCTTTTTGCGCCTAAGAGCATATTCTAAAATGCCAGTCAGGCAGCGCACACCACTTATTTTTTCAAGGTAAATTTATAGTTGGACATTGTACAACAAAATTGGACAATGTACAAATAAATATTTATTTTCAAAAATATTATTTTAACATATAAAAATTATTATTTACATATATTTTTATGTAAAAAAAATTGTCAGAACAACAATCGTGAACAGCTTATTTCACACATGTTTATACAATGCCATGTGGAGCTTTTCTGTCAAAATAAGCGTTTAACCAAAAATCGAAACGGACACTATTCTACAGAAAAAAGCTTTTTCTAATGATAAAAACATCGTATATTGAAAGATAAACTGATAAAATTGTCGGAGCAACAATCGCGAACAGCTTATTTTACACATGTTTATACAACGCCATGTGAATCTTTTCTGTCAAAATAAGCGTTTAACCAAAAATCAAAATGGACACTTTTCTACAGAAAAAAACTTTTCCCAATGATAAAAACATCGTATATTGAAAGATAAACTGTAAAAATATATCAAAAACAAAAAATAAACAATAATATGGGTTTCAAAACACAAACGTCAAAAAGCACATGGTAACAAAGAAATAGAAGTGAAACTCATTCGCTAACTATTTCAGTTCGTAGCCAAAATTAACGAACATCACCAATAATTGTCATACAATTTTTTTCTGGCTGGTCCATTTTCGATGGGAATTAAGGGTATTTTAGAAACTACTAAAGATAAATCTGAAACGACGTTCTCGAGCTCGATTTTCATAGCAAACTCGACTGTCAAATCAGAAATTTGCTATTTTCATTTGTTTCTGAGTTACAGGACGTTTCTTGTTATTGTCACATTTTTGAACATGTCTGTATCTCAGTTGTTAAATAAGTTAAAGTTAAAGTGAAAACTGTTCAAGGCTATAAAGTTATATTTTTTTAAATGGAAATTGAACTGATCATGGCCTAAAAAAATAGCGATTTTTTTTTTACTTTTTAGCAATATATCACATACTATAATTATTTTTACAAACGCAGAAGATATGGGTTGTTTTATATATAAATTATATATTTTTTCCTTTTTAATATGGCTATGAAAATACATATAAAATTATAATTCTTACTTTTACAAAACTCATCTGTTGTAAAAATATGACGTTTATTTTAAATGCATAACATATACTCGTATGATAATATAATACTAACGAAATTTTAAGAGATAGGTGTATACGAACAAACAGACAGATCAGATGGCCAGCTAGGTTACCTGATTTGAGTCCGTTGGACTTTTTCCATTGGGGTTTTCTAAAATACATTATATTTAAAATTCCTTTTTACTCTATCGAGGAGTTTCAACAAAATGTTGAAAATTATTTTAATAATATTTCAAATATACATTTACCGGAAGCGTTACCAGAAGATGCGCGAAATGTGTGACAGTTGAGGGACGGCAATTTGAACATTTAGATGATGTAGGTACTTACTATTGTTTAATTTACATTTAATATTGTAACTTGAGTTGAGGCGGAATAAAAATTTGAAAACTGTCTTCTTATCTGTAATATATATTTTAAATAAACGTCATATTTTTACAACAGATATGAGTTTTGTAAAAGTAAGAATTATAGTTTTGTATGTATTTTCATAACCAGCCATATTAAAATGTAAAAAAGGATAGAATTTATATATAAAACACCCAGTAGCTCCTGTGTTTGTAAAAATAACTACAGCAGATATACAGTGTAGGAAAGTACCGATGGTCTATCAGAAGTTACGTGAGAGGTGATAAAGTAAGCCATAGAAATTCATGTGATAGACAAGGATGGCTATAATGAAGGCGTCTAATAGTCAACGCCCATTTCGCCCTTCCACAAATAAGAAGTGGATCTTATTTGTGGAAGGGCGAAATGGGCGGTGACTATGAGACGCCTTCATTATAGCCATCCTTCTCTATCGCATGGATTTCTATGGCTTACTTTATCGCTCTCACGTAACTTCAAATAGACCATCGGTACTTTCCTACCCTGTATGTATTGCTGAAAAGCAAAAAAAAATCTCCATTGTTTTAGGTCACGACCAGCTACGATTTCCATTTAAATAAATATAATTCTGGAATCTTCAAGTCTTACTAAAAATTTAATACCGGCATTCAATTCTACGCCAAAAAATTTGTCTTGAGCAGTTTTCACTTTAACTCTACCTTATTTAACAGCTGAGATACAGACATGTTCAAAAGTGTCACAATAACGAGAAACGCCCTGTAACTAAGAAACAAATGAAGATAGCAAATTTCTGATTTGACAGTCAAGTTTGCCATGAAAATCGAGCTCGAGAACGTGGTGTTAGATTTATCATATCTTTAGTAGTTTCTGAGATATCCTGAAATCCTAAAGAAAATGGACCAGCCTGTACACTGGGGCGGTTTACTGAAAACTTAAATATTTATTTAAAGGGATCGCACAGCAGCGGGCACATATAAAACGGTCTAGGGGCGCTATGGTGCTTGCAGACATATGGCTGGGGATCCCTGGTCTAAAGTAATGCAATAAAACTATTAAATATACAACTTATTAATTTTATCAGTTTTTATTTTTGCTGCATGCACTATGTATTATTTTAATCTTGACCGCATCAGTTCCAATCATCTATCTACAAACTGGTAAGGTTCAAACTCAGTGATACACAGAACACCACGGAAAAATATTTCTCAGGAGATTTGAGAATGGCATCCCTGGCTTTTTGAAATGATTCTTCATAAAAAAATTTGATTTTGATGTACAGGGTGATGGGAAAATAAGAAAATCTGAAAAAATTGCAATGTGAAGTGGCTTTATTTTTATTTAAAAATAATGAAGGTTTGGCAGCCATAGTTCGCAATGTTCATACAAAACATGGTTAGAATAGTGATTTAACTTCAACTGTGAAGAAATGAATCGCAAAATTCAGGGAGACTGGATCAATTAGTGATCTCTGTCCATCCTTCAAGTTGTTCAACACAAAACATCAAAGCAGTTTATGACAGTGTTGCTAAAAGTCCAGGAACATCAATTCAGCACTCTGGTCAAGAATTAGACTTTTCGAGAAGCTCTCTACACCGTATTGTCACGAAAGATTTGCAACTTCATGCTTACAAAGTTCAATTGATTCAAGAACTGAAGCTGTTGATAAACAGTTCGACAAAATTTTGGTAAAAATATGTGCTACCAAACTACTACATTGATTTTGATTTCAAATTTTTTCTTAGTTTCTAAGCACCCTGTATATTAACGTCTAAATTTATCTACAGTGTGTCCAGGAATTGAGTGTATGTGGGGTGTAAAAGACAAAAAATTTTCGAGTTGAAATTTGAGCTTCCTCACTTCTCTGCTTGGCCTTAAACTAAGTTGAAAAAATTATTCCAATTAATTAATGCACAGGGTGTTTTCACGATGAATTTTCAAAAACTGTCAAGAGTAAAGTACCTTTGTTTTTAAAGATATCAAAAATATTTATTTACTTAAGAAAGTTACTGAGAACTAAAAGTTATGACAGATTGTCAATTTTCAATTTGATAGGCCAACTTTGTTTTTTTTTCCTTGCTTTCAACAAAACGGACACCCAGCGCATTCAACGCGAATCATTCAAGAATGGCTAGATGGTCAATTTCCTGGGAGGTGGATTGGGCAAAATGGCCCAATTTCTTGGCCTCCTACAAGTCCTGATTTAACTATAATGGACTTTTATTTAGGGGGCTATCTCAAGCAGAAAGTCTATGGGTCCCCGTTGAATAACAATTTATTTGAATTGAAACGAAGAATAAAAGATACAGTTAATGCCATCCCCATTCAAGAAATCCAAAACGCCTACACAGAATTTACCAAGCGCGCTGAGCGATGTGTAATGGTTGGTGGCAGCACATTTGAATAACCATTATATTATTTGTTTATTTATGTTTATTATATTAGTTAAGTTTTTTTTCTCTAATACATAATTAGGAATTTGTACATTGTGGCTGTGAAAAATAAAAAAAAAACAAAGTTGGCCGATTAAATTGAAAATAACTTTTAATTCTCAACGACTTTTCTAAGTAAATATTTTTTATATTTTTACAAAGGTAGTTTACTCTTGACAATTTTTAAAATTCATTGTAAAAACACCCTGTACATTAATTAATTGGACTAATGTATTCAACTTCCTAGTTTAAGGCGAAGAAGAGATGATGCCCAGAAGCTTAAATTTCAACCCAAAAATTTTTGTCATTTACACCCCACGTGCACACAATCCGTTAACACACTGTATAGTAACGCAATTATTTTGATAAGCAAAATTTAAAAATTTCTTCTCTCATAAACATACTACATATTTTAAATTATGTTCTTACCTATTTTCAAGAAATTTTTTTCCATTTTCAACCAAATCTTCAATAAATTTTTTTGTGTATCTAGTTTTAAGTACGTCTTTGGACAACGGTATCTCTGGTAATTGTGCCATACGCTTTGTCATTTCCCATATTTCTTTAACTTCCTACAAATAAACAATGATTAATAAATTAATTTACAATGGATGATAATTTCTTATAAAAATCTTCATTCTACCTTTTTAAAATAACTAAAAAGAGAATATTCAGTAATAATAGATACAACTCATAAATGTTCATAATGCTTACGTCATTTCTGAATCCACAAACAGTATTAGAAAATTCATTAATCAGGTCTAGTTTTGTCGTTCCCCTACTAAGGGCACTGTTATGTTCTATTATCTTGGAAGCATAAACCGATTCAATCGATCCAAGCTGAACTAAAGTTGAATGCTTCTCTCTTTCCCAATTTTCACTTTCATCGTCCTTCAATATAATAAACATATTACATTTTTAAATAAGCAGTCTTATATAATTTTTTTTATATTAGAAAATCAAATAAGCAAAATAATTGTCTTATAAAAATATAAAAAGTACATTCTGCCAAAAAAGTATCCGGAATTTGTCATTTAAAATTCTGCGTAACATAGATTTAAATTTCTTTTTTGATGGAAAATTTGTAGCACTGTACTCTACTCTGACACGAAGCTTGAACACGATCTATCAAGTAGTAGTTTGCAGCTGTTAATTTATTTTCTGCTACCAACGGAACTTCGTGTGGAAAATATTGGGAAAGATGAAATTGGCAATTCAGTTTTATTGAAAACTCAAGCATACGAATGGTACAAAGCATTCAAACATGGTCAGGAAGTGGTTGATGATTTGCCACGTTTTGGTAGTCCTTCAACGTTTTTAACTGAAGAAAACATCGAAAAAGTGAAGGAAATGGTACTTGCACACCATTATTATAGTTTGAGAGCTAGCATAAGAACTAAACATATCTCACGAAACAGTTCGCACCATTATAGTTGACGTTTTGGATACGAAACGTGTCACAGCTCAGTAGATACCAAAAGAGTTGAATTTTTTTCAAAAGGAGTATCGCAAACATCTTGTTGAAGACATGCTTGAACCAGCCAATTCGAACACTACATTCATGCAAAGCATCATAACGGGTGACGAGACAAGGGTTTACGATTTTAACATGCAAAAAACTATGCGTTTCTAATGAGCTGAAACCAAAAAAAAAGACATCAAAGTCGATCAAAAATGGAAGTCATGTTGACTGTTTTCTTTGACCATCATAGTGCCATCCTCACAGAATTCCGTCCGGATGGAGAAACAGTCAATAAAGAATATAATCTGTGAGTTATGAGGCATTTGCGAGAGTATCTGCCGTAAAAGAACAGATTTATGGAAGGACATTTCTTGGATTTTGAACTACGATAATACTCCATCACACAAATCGATAACTGTGAATGATTTTTAACCAAAAACTCAAATGCCATCGAAAAGCCACTGTATTCACCGGATACGGCCACTGCTGACTTTTTCCTTTTTCCCAAACTCAAATTACCCATTAGAAGCCATAAAACAAAAATCGCTTAACGAATTGAAGTCCATAACAGAATATGCGTTTAAAAAGTGCTTTTATGACTGGGTTGTTCGTTAGAAAAGGTGTATTGATTCAAATGGAGCCTATTTTTGAAGGAGACAAAATAAATTTTAGTGATTAATTGAATATACTGTGTTTCATTGACAAATTCCAGATACTTTTTGACAGAATGTAAATTCTTCCATAAAACTGATCGTGTTTTAAAATAATTTGCATTTAAAAGAAAACTGCATACTTTCACTACTACTGCCTTTCCAGCCTTACTTTCTAGTTGCAGAACCTGTTCAATTTCTATGAAGTCTAATATTTGTTCCCATTCCATTTTTTCTTCGGTCTGACCTATTTAGAAATAAAAATATTTTTATCGGATTACGTTTTCTTTTCAACATTCAAAAAACAGTTACCCAAAACCGGAAGGTGTTCTGGATAATAGAATCCTCCCGAGGAAGCCTCTACAAATTGTACATCGCAAAGTCCTTTATGGCCTAACCTATACAATTCTGTATTTCCATGAAGCCATTGCACATAAGCAGTTGATCTGTCACTTTTGTGTTTCCATCCCCTTATATCCAAAACTATACCAAGTTTACCTAAACATTACAATAATCTTGTTGATATCGATGGTGGTGCAATTGAAAAACTTAAATGACAAGTTTGTGATGAAGCTTTTCATAGAGCATAAAATATTTTCCAGAATTTCCATTTGACAGAAATTTTTAAGTTTGTCAAAAATTACATTATAATTCGTTAAAGTCTCCCAAGAAGCACCTTACGTTAGAATTAAGCAATTTCTACGTTTATTTGGTCTCATTTTTATTTATGATTAAACTTAAATGACTTAAAATTTAATTAAAAGTGAGGTAAGTGGGAAATGAACGACGTTACTAAGTTATGTTTTGAATAAGGTCACTAAGTTCTAATTTGTCCCTTCACAGGTAATTTAAATGTACAGTAAAACCTTACCGTTCGCCGATTTGTGGTTCGCGGATTTAAATTTACGAGGTAGCCATCCATGTCACCTTTTCTTTGCCGTTCGCGGGACGTTTGCTTTGTCGTCCGCGGTCCGAATTTTACACATAATTCTACAGATGAAAACCTGATTATGAGAAACCATAAATAATCATAAGTGTACATATGCAAGAACTCAATGCATAACAAACCCTTGACCTTGTCTCAAATCATCAATTCTCAAGGATAGCATAAACACACTTGAATTTACATAATGTATTTATTGCTCTCTATAATAGGGTCCAAAGCAGTGCATATGTATGGGCAGCTTTTAAACTGCTTGACGATTGCAACGTTTAAGGCTCATCTACTATACCAGACTTAGTTTTTCTCATATTTTGCACTGTTTGGAAGAAAATCCAGAAATATCTGTTAAAGAATACTTGAACCAATTTACTATTTTAAATGCAATAGAAAATATTGCTGCCTCCTGGGCGGAGGTGAAATTGTCAACCAATAATGCTTGTTGGAAGCTATAGCCTCAGTGTGTTCAGGAAAGTGCAGTAGAACCAGATTCACAGAAATTGAAAAAATTGCAGAAATAACTAGAGAAGTGGGAAGGGAAGGTTTCGAAAATATAGAGGCTGAAGATGTGGAAGAATTGACCCGAAATGAAGATGATGGTCTCACATACAAAATTTGAAGAAATAACTCGAGAAGACTTCATTTTGAGTTCAAAAGAGGATGAAGAAGAGCCCAGTGTTATGAATCCATTAACAAAAAGTGTACAAGAAGTGTTAGACAAGATGTCGCAGTTAAAACGTGAGATCATTGAGATAGATCCAGATATGCAGAGTATGGTTATTAGTAGAGGATTCGATAACCTCTTTTCACCATACAAAGAACTTTTAAAAGAATTGAAAAACCATCAAAATCAAAAAACAATGGCCGACTTTTTCCAGATGAGGTCTATCCTAGAATCTTTACCACCAAGTACACAAAATTAAGTTTGGAAGTGTTTAAGTGTTTTTGTTTCCAAAAACTCATTTAGGTTTTAAAATCGATTTAATGTATGCTAACCTTAAACAATTATGAAATTCAAAATTCCTATGCATGCGGAAACATATAAATGTAGTATTTTCGATTTTGTTCCAGAATAAATATACATAAATATATAAATAACTGAATTATGTTTCTAATATTTAATTCTGTTTTAAACACTAACATAATGACTTGCGCATCACGGATTTGCGCTTCGCGGGAATCTTCTGGAACCTATCCCCTGCTAACGGCAAGGTTTTCCTGTATTACGTTTAATTGTGGTTGTCAAGACGTAATTCATCTCACTTCGTGTGTTGTAGGTCACATTTCTAAAATTGAGTAATCAATAAGTTGTAAAAATGTTCTCTTCTAGAGTAGTGTTTAACCTGGGAGTCTAGAACAAAAAGCTACCTAATACAAGAGGAAGAGGAGGTAGAATACTACAGTGTGAAGTATATGTATAAGACTGCATTTATAAACTACGCTAACAGATAGGTTAAAGTAAGAGCTGACGCTTGCCTACAACTTTTGACATTTGTAGGCTGTCGATATTTTCCAATAATTAATTTTTTTTTATTATAAAACAGCTTCTTAGAGCTAATGGAAAACTATGGCGAACTTAGGATCACACGACTTCATAGTATTCCTTCTCAGTATTTTAGCCATCATTGATGTTTCTCCTTTAGTTAAAATCCTTAAAACCTAAATTGTTAGCTTTCAGGTTATGGAGGACCTATTTACGAGCCCAGGCTCATAATAGTTCGGCCGGCCAACGTTTTCAACTAAATACTTTAATAATCTATGAATTATGCAGAAATAACGAAATATTTCTGAAAATCCTTTTAACTACAGTAAAATATAAACTTTTTAGTTACAAAAATGAACATTTTATTCAATACATATATCGACTAATGGTTACACAATAGAAAACTTTATCCGTCTCAGGGGTCATAAAAGTTCGGCCACTCTTTAATATTGAGTTACATCGCTTTTGTTCTTAATAACTGCTTTAATTCTGCTAGACTTTACTAACAAAGCACATTCTTCTGGTAGAATATTATCCTAAATATTCAGTAGTGTGGCTTTTAATTCAGGCACTGAACGTGCTGGATGTTTCCGAAGCTGTTTTTTCATATTGTGCCAAAAGGTCTCAATAGGAGATAAATCTGGGCTGGAACACGTCCATTTTAATACTGATATTTGATGATTCTGCAACCACGTTTTAATAGTTTTTGCCGTATGACACGGTGCACCGCCTTGTTGGAATATGAAATGCCCTTCCGCCGTTTGACACATCTCAACAGATGGTAACAGACTCTCTTCCAGAATATCTCTGTACTTCTGCGCGTTAACAATTCCATCAACAAAATGCAGTTTACCAACACCTCTACCAGACATGCAACCCCAGACCATAACAGATGCTGGAAACTTTACTTTTTTGACTAAACAATCGTTATGATAGGCCTCTGAAGGTGTACGCAAAACCCGTTTTCGTGTGTCACCTACACAAACGTCAAATTTTGACTCATCGCTCCAAATTACGCTGTGCCATTGTTGATTCGTCCAATTTTTATGTTCTCGTGCCCATTTTAACCTGTTTCTCCTCTGCAGTTTTGTTAATAGAGGTTTTTCTTTTGCCTATTGGAAAAAAATAAAAAATTGCCAAGAACTTAAACAAGAAAAAAAAGATCAAAAGTTACATTGTAAAACTTGAATCCTATTTTTCGAATAGTTCTTTTCGTTGTGGACATTGAAACAGGCTTTGCTATACTGTTCCTCCATAGTACAGGTATTTCTTTAGTATTGGAGTGCCGATTTGTTTTTACTATTCTGCGTAAAGCTCTTTTATTTGCTTCTGTAATTGTAGATGATCGGCCAGTTTTGACTTTTTGGTCGACTTCGCCGGTTCTTCTGTATAAATTAATAATATCCTGCACTGTAGAACGCGGAATTGAATGAGAAACTGATATTCGGCGGGTCGAAATACCTTTCTCATGGGCTTTTATAATAGAAACTCGTAAATCTTTACTTACAGGTTTACCACGAAGCATTTTACGTTAAATCTGATGCAAAACGTGGGTAAAACTAATAATGATAGATATTTTGTTGAATTATTCAGTATGTGTTTTGTTTTGATGGAGTATATCAGTTTCATGGCGATATGATAAGAGGCCGAACTATAATGACCCATTGCATTGCATTGGATTGCATTTTTGTTAACTATGTTTTCCTCAATTTGAATTTTGTCAAAAGTGATTAAATTTAGTAAATTGAGTCTATACTTTATTACAAGTGAGGTAGTTTTAAGGAAATCTTTCATCATTTTGGTAGAATTTGTAATTTATTCAAGTATTTAATTAAAAACATTGGCTGGCCGAACTATTATGAGCCTGGGCTCGTAGGTTAAAATGTTTTAATAGTCACAAAACTTATAGACTTAAATCGTTGAATAATAATAATATTTCCTCACTCAATGCTTAAATTGGTTACATTTCCCTATTTAGGTTCATGCTGTTTATTCCACCATTAAGTTGGCCATAAACAATTTTTTTATGTAAGCATAAACGAAAACATTAATCGTGTCTGCTTATTTTCAGAGTGTGATCAATTTGGTGTTTTTCATATGCCAAATAAAATAGTCGGCTGCCAACTATCTGCTTATGAGCCCTTGTTAAATTGAACAACCAAAGTAAGTACTTAGGTCGGCTCAAAGAAAGTATCTGCATCATTTGCAACATATTTTTTTATTTTCCAGGGTTGCTACCCATTATGCTTAATGGCACATTTTAATCACATCTGTTTTGACATTCATAACGTCACTATTAATTACTCAATTAAATATAACTTAACTAGTTACATGGAGATATCCCATACGTCAAATAGCCATATACTTTTGAAGAAACTTAACAATGAAAACGAATTTTACCATTGCCGGAACAGATCTAAAATGTATTCTAAGTAGAAATAACTTTCAGGGCATTTTGTGAAAAATTTAGATTTTAGGTAAAAAATATGTCCATATTCGGAAAGTAGGAAATTTAAAGTTAGCTCTGAGCATTAGTTGATATGTGTACCCTAAGATCAAACAGGGTAAGACATCATTTAGGTTTTATTTACGTCAAAATCTGGTAAAATTTATATCTCTTGATTAAGAAAAAAATATTAGACCAACAGATTAAGAATGTGATGTAATATAATGTAATATATTCTCCCGTATAGTCTTCAATGTACAGTAAGACCCCGCTTAACGCTGTTGCGTTCAGCACTGTTTCGGTCTAGCGCCCTTTTATTTTAACCCGGGGATTCCCCGAAATTGCTCGCCGCACTACGGGGATTCCCCGAAATTGTGCGCAGCGCTAGGTTTCCAAATACATATGTACATAACCTATCCGAAACAGTGTAGTTGTGTTTCTTGTTTGGTGCAGTGCTGTACGGACGCATTTTCAACAATTGATATAACTATAACTAAAATTATGGACTAATTTGTTGAAAATGATCCAAATTTTGACAGGAGCTCAAAAGCAAGACGGGGTTTTATATATGCTTTATCCACTTATCAACAACTTCTAATATAACGCAAAAGGAAAATGCAAACTACATTAGATGCCTTCTCGACAAAAAGGCAGAAAATTGGAAACACAATAGACTGAATGATCCGTCTGACTTAGAATTTTATTTGTTTTTATAAGTAATATTCGTTTATATTGTTTTTATTTTTGTAAGAAATAAACGTTTGGTTTTATTTTTATTAAAAAAACATAATTATTAAATTTAATACCTAGCCAATTTTCTATCCATCTTCCCCTAACCCCATTATTTACATGTTAAGATAGCCTCGTTTAGCGCTGTTTCGCATTACGCTCTACTTTGATGGAAGGTATCCTACGCGTAAAGCGGGGTATTACTGTATACTTAAATTTTAGGACGTCAATATTTCTTCAAAATTACTCCGAGGTAAAATAAACTATTTTTTGAAAAAATATTACCATTTCTTATTATTAAGTTATAATAATTATGTTGTAATGACTATTTAAGGTTATTATGGCTTTAAACTGATAAAATAATCATGCTGCTTGGACTTTTAAAACCACTTTTTCTACGTTTGTTCTTATTTTGAAAGTAAGAAATCAAACTGCAACAAATATTTCATTAACATTCTCTGTGTTACCTTATCAGCAGATTATTAAATAAGTGCCCTTCTCATTTTTACAAATATTGAAGGAATTCCAAATTATTACAAGGAAAATTTGTTGAATAATTTCCATTTCAACAAAACCTGCATTAGCATATTGTTTAAAAATTACCCTGCCCTCCATCCTGGTTCCTCCATTCCCAATCAACCCCACGAACTACTTCTGCGCCTTTAAATATTCCTCTTAATTCACATTTTCTAAAACTCAAACGAGGTGGCAAATTGATTCTAAAAAAAGTAGATATTGCCAATTTAGTCAAAAAAGCTATATAAACTAAGCACTTTTAGCTAAATAAAATAAGTATTTTTCTCTTACCCTCTGGAATCTGGTAATTCAATTCTCTTAAAGCTATGACTCAAGTCATGCTTATCTCCATGATAACATAAGGAGCATAAATCAAAATCATAGCAATTCATACATTTATATCTCATTCCATGTATATGACCAGAATTACATTCATCACATATCACGCTTTTGTGATTAATACCTGAAACAATAAGTTTACATTGTACCTTGACTGTACCTATCGATTTAAATCCTAATACTTTCTTTCCAAGAAGTTATGTATATATTTTACAAAAATTCTTACCTATCTGTGCATTATCAAGAAGACGAATATCATATTTGTCTAAACAACCGACTCTACATTGCATTTGATTTCCGTTGTCCCATTGCACTACAGCAGTTTTATTTGTTAAATTGATTTCTCGCAAAATACCTGCAAAACCTTCACCACCATCTAAAAATAATAAAACTGATAAGAAACTTTTCCAAAAGTTGTTAATTATGTAGCCTACTTATACCTTCATTTCCCCATGACCAGTTGGGGCCTCTAACAACCCTTACTCCAACTTTTAACATTTTTAGATTGATTTTAGTAAGCTTCGCAAATTTGTTTGGAATATAATAAACCGTTTCTATTCTATCACTATATATTTGCAATATTGCACAAGATTAATACGACATAAAAATTGTTTATCATTATTGTTTTGACAGTACAAATACAAAACATGAAACTTGTCCATGTCCATGCTCCCTGTTATGAACCATGGACTGTACATCATAGTCCTTATAAACTCCACCAAAACGTTAACGAGAGGAGAGGAGATGTGTTAGAAACTGTGGTAAAAGGGAATTATTTATCTTTCGCTCCCTTAGTCCACCTCAGCAAAGCGCATCCTAGGCTGCATAGCCGCACCACCCTACCCAACCATAAACATGACACCACCCCCGGGGTTTACACAGACGAGCCGGCGAAGCAAGAAGAGCGCCAGAAGAAAGGGCCCTAGCCGGCGGGGACCAGCCAGGACAAAAGGAGGTCCCACAAAGCGCCTACACCGGCCGCATTTGCGGTCAGGGTAGACGACGGATGGGGCCCACCTACGAAGGCTGTCCAGGCCTACACGAGCTGGGGCAGGATAAAGAGGGATAATCTCCCTCGATCCCAAATCATTGAGGCCAATTTCTAGCCATGGAATAATGGCGCTCCCTTAGTAACTTAATAGAGAGATATTGGAACGTCATATACCGCACATACGGTGTTAATAGCGCAGCGTTATTTCTGCGCTAATTTGTCTTGAAAATATGAGTTATTGAACATCCCAGCGTAGTTTGATATTGATGACCTTGATTAGTTTTGTCTAACCATATTCTATGTGCCTAATCGTCGTCGGCTTTTCCGACATCACCCGAAGCACTTTAGCGAAACGGTAAAGCATAATTAACGCTATACAGTTCAGAGCGAACAGCCGAGCTGAGCGGACGTGTTTGTTTGTGAGGTGAAGTGCATTGCAACGAGCAAGATCTACCTGCCTTTATTAAGGCTACCTGGAAAGAATCCCTTTCTATCCTTTTAATCACCGACCTAATCCCCGGCTTAAGCATAGACGCCGTCGGCATCTTTGTTACAGCACCTGTGCCGGGGTTATGCCCAGGTAAGTTTTTACTTATTTATCAGTTATTT